ATCTACAAAGTTTGCACTTCAAACTTTATTAAGGTGTCACATACATGTTTCATAGCATTTTTGCTTAATAAAAATTAGTTTTAAACCCTAAGTGATATAACATGTCTATCGAATCAACTTTCGTTTCACATTCTAGTTGATCGTTTCGAATTACAGAAATTGATCTACACACTTTATTACATGCATTAACACATAAACATGATGCTCATGATATGTTTTAGTAAATGATTTACGGTGTAACACCGAGGATATTACAGCTCTACTTCTCCACAAGCAAGCTTCTATGCAAGTTGCTATGATATCTAAGGTCAATTTCACTCAAACGAGCAATCTAGCAGCTACTACTACACTAGAGAGCTAATTGCAACTAGTTACAACTAAGTTACTCTACTAGCTACTCAAGCAAGCAAGCAATCAATCAGCACACAAGTATACTAGAAAAGTAATGAGCAAGTGAAGGAGTGTTATACCAAACCAGGCAAGTGACAATTAAGAATACTAAGGAGACATCAAGATTTATCCCGTGGTTTGGTTGCTTGCCGGCAACCTACATCAACGTTGTGGCGAGTCCAAACTAAGTGGTCCGTGCGCTAATTAGCATCACATGCCAAGCCCACCATATGAGCGCCATAAGAACCACTAGAGAGGCACTACCAAGCCGCGATTTCACTAGAGTTGCCTTTCGTAATCTCTCGTGGGGAATAAGTACAAGAACCCCTCACAATCGATCGATCTGAGCCGAAAACAATCATCACCTTTTGTTGCGCTTAGATCATGCGTGCACATGTCTAATGTCATAGACATGTTACTGATAATTTTTTGGATTAAATTTGTACGGATTTGACTAATTTTCTAACAATATGAAACTCCATGGTGACATCTACGTATATATACGGCATATTTGGGTCTGTCCCGCTCCACGTTTTTCAGCCAAACAAATACAATTCATTTTGCTAATCTTTTAATTTCACACAAGTTTATCATAAGCATTCATCCGTAGCATTTTGTAGCGTTCAATCGTTTTTCTTGTGATGTTGGAATAAATTTTCTCGTTACGTCGGAATAAATTTCTAGTACTAAATATAGAACATTTTTTGGTTATGAAGCTGGCAAATTTTCTTGTGAAGCTAGAAAATTTCGACGGCCGAGGCCCTGTCTGAAGTGTTCAACCAAGCGAACAAAATCAGGCGAACCAGCCCCTCTGCCCAATGGCCATCTAGCTCTTGATCTCTCTCAGCCAGGCCCAGGCCGTACGAAGAGCAATTACTGTACTTTGATGCGGTGGAGCGGGTCGGTGATGGTGCGGTTCCAGTGGCCGTCTGGCGCTTTGACCATCGCCGCCTCCCTCCTGTGCTGCTCCAGCACCTCCATGTGGCTCGCCGGCAGTGCGCAAAACCTTTCCCTCAGTTCCGCGGGCTCTATCCGGTCGTGCACCGCCCACCACCGCGCGTGCGCCTCGTCGCTCGCGAACCGCCGGAGCGCCGCCACGTTCCAGTTGCAGTCGTAGTCACGATAGCACAGCCACGGCTTCATGCCCAGGTAGTGCACGGCGTGCACCTCCGCTGGCTCCGCGGTAAGCATCCGCGCCTGTGCCGCCCGGTCACCTTCGGCCCAGACGTACTTGAGGAAGTTGACGTGGCGCGGCAGGCGGTGCCACCAAGTGAAAACCTCGTTCAGGTACCCCTGGTCGCCGCCGTTGTAGGATTCGATGTCGTGGATGCCCGACATGAGCAGGTCGAAGGTGCAGTTGCACGGCTCCAGCACCATCACCCCCGAGTTGAAGCGCGCGCCGCTGTTGACCGTCGCGCTCAGCTCGGGGGCCTCCTCGAACAGAAAGTCAATGTTGCGCAGCACCAGCAGGTCGGCGTCCAGGAACACCACCTTCTCGTAGTCGGTCAGCTGCCACAGCCGGAACTTGCTATAGTTCCACTCGTTGTAGGCGTGGACCTCCGCGTGAGGGTTGCGGATGCGCGGCGCCAGGCGGACGTGCCAGCCTGCCGCGGCGAGGGCGGCGCGGTGCTCGGCGCCCACATTGTGCGCGTCCACCAGGGCCACCAGGTCGCGCGTGGACCCTGACTGCCGGATGCTCTGCGCCAGCGCGATGGCGCCGCAGACGTAGGCGTCGGCGGAGTGCAGCACGGTGGCGTAGGCCTGCTTGCTGATCCTGCTTGTACCTGGCGTTGCACTTGGTGGTGTAGGTGAAGGCCGGAGAAAAGGAACGGCGAGCTGGCAGGACCCGACGGGCAGGTTGAGGCGGTGGCGGAGGTAGGTGGTCTCGGGGCGGTAGAGAAAGGCGTGGCCGCGGCGCGCGAGGAGGTGCTTGCAGGGGAAGAGGTTGGGCAGGGGAAGGCACCCCGACTCGCTCAGGATCAACACCATGCCAGACTTACTGCTGCTGCCATTGCCATGGAGGGTGAGCTTGGCGGCGGAGAGCTGGAGGTGGAGCCTGCGCACGTCCCTGGACCAGCCTTGGCCGCGGCAGGGAAGCTTGACGGCGACGAGGTCGTAATTGTGATGAGGGGCGGCATCCGGGTCGGGGAGGGAGGGGCAGCTGCTTCTGTTGCTCTCCTCGTCGATCCAGTCCGGGTAGAGGGCTTGCCAGGTGACAGCGTCCGCGGCGGGCGCCAGGCGCACCGCCCGAACGTCGGCGGCAGGCAACGTGCTCGTCCAGCGCGCAACCTCCGACGAGTTGAAGTTGAGCAGGCCCACTCTGGCGAATCCACGCCCAGTGCCATTACTGCTGAATGATGAAAGGACAATGGCGATGCTCTCCCACTGGATGTTCCACCTGCTGTCTGCCGCGTACGGGGCAGCTGCAGGGGGCACCTCTTCCTCCGACGCTGCTACTGCCTCTGAGTCTTCCTGACGATCATCGTCTGATGACGATGCTCCTCTCGAAGACGTTGTAGGGATGATGATTTTGCCACTTGGAGTTGTAGCAGTGGTAGGAGAGGCGTCCCAAGAGGAAACTGGAATTATCCGTGGCAGTACTGCCACTTGGACGACGACGCAGCAGCCGTTGCCGCGGATAAGCAGCGCCACGATGATGATGGCGCACACAAAGAACAGCAAGACCACCAGCAGCTTACTGAACACCCTCTTCTTCCGTACGCCGCCGGTCATGTCTCTGCGGAGTCTCAGTCTCAGGTTCCCAAGCACTGAACTGACAGAAGCAGGATGATCATCAGACGAAATGTGGTGTGGAACAGAACAACCGAGACGGAGAGAATGGTTGAAGGTAGCTACTTACAGATCGATTTCTGATCGGAGCTTATAGCTGCATGCGCTCCAGCAGCAGCGAGCAGCGTCCCCGGCCCAGGCTAGATATATCAGGCCAGTTTCCTTTCTAAAGTTGGGGTAGCTCTTCTTCTTTTTTTGTTGTTAGAGAAAGAGGCAGTAGCTCTTTGTATAGTGCATTCGTATGCTTTTGCTTTGACATAAATAAATATATATATGCATGTAATCCAAATGGACGATACATAGGGAGAGTTTGCTAGGTCAGATGGTTCGTAGCTTGCTTTGTAGGGAACGCCATCTGGAGGATTCTTATAGATGGAGTGATGGATGGGCATGGGGCACCTCACAGTCAGGTGGCATTTGGAAATTAATCGTCTGCCATTAACTAAACAGAACTAGCAAGCTCGTTTTTAGATAATTATTCGTATACTCAACGTCTACTGGAGTTCGATCGTTCATATATCGGACCGCCACAAAATTTAATGGCGAATGGTTCCATCGATTGTTCCGTCACATTGTCCGATCAAGTGATGCTATCTGTTTGGCTGCAAATGGCAACTTATTTCTGCTGCCCATAGTTTTAGGATAAAATTAAGTTCAGGTCAGTCTCGTTCCAACAGTGTTTCACAACTATTCTTCTTTTATTATTATATATATACTCCTAGATTGTATCTATATCTATACCTAATAATAAAAAAGCAAAATTTTAGCTTTTTTTTTTCGTCCAAACATCCCCCAAAGCTATCGATAGTCGAGAGTTTTCTTCCATCTAGACTTATATCACCTTAGATAGTTAGGACAAATAGATCTCTCTAAGTCTGAATAAACTAAATAGGAATAGGAATCCTTATTCAAATAGAAAATAAATTAGATAAAATCTTATTTTTATTTTTTATATAGCAAAGCGTCTTTTTCAACCTGTCTTTTTTACTTCCCATAGATATGGCTTCCGAATAACCTGTAGGAATCCTAATCCAAATAATGTTTTTATTTTCCGTGTTTGCTTCAGCTGTTCTTTCTTGTCCACGTTTCTTCTGATTTTTTTTTCTTTCGTTTTTATCCTACCATATATTTCCGTGTCTGCTTCCGTTTCCACACATTTCCTCTATCCATCTGATTTTTCCTTTTTCCAGTCTCCCCGTTATCGTTTTGTTTACTATCGGTTTTCTCTCCCGTGCCTATTTTATCTTTTCGAAGTGGACTCCCTTGCCATTTTGTTTTTCAATGTGTATTCTGTCGTTCCAACTCGTGATAATCATAGCTGAGGTAGGCTTGGCGCGTATGGTACTGGTAACGCAAGAAGAGTTTAGTGTTTTGCTCCTACTCGAATTCGGTCACCTCCCGAAACATTGACTACGTACATATATATATACATGGGAGAGGGCAACCGTCACTTGGCGAGGAGGCGTGGTGTAGGCGCGTGTAGCGACACGGTGGCTTAGCGTGGTCGGCGACGGCGTCAAGGACGTGGACCATCATAGGCGGCTCACCCGCTCGATCGCTGGCCACCGTGCTTAATTTGCTGCCGCTCGTCGCTGCCCGTGCGAGATCCATGCACGCAGCCGCTTCAGCGGGAGCATGCAGCATCAAAGCAGATCGATTAGAAATTTAATTAGAATCCATGGAGCGCGAGTACAAGCTGGACGTCACGGAGCAGAACCTCGCCGACGTGATCCACCACTTCTGCTGGTACTACTCGCTCTTCTCCACGAAGAAGACCGTGGCGGCGCCCCCGGACAGCCCGTTCAAGGACGTGGCCAACAATGATGAGGCGGCAAGCGCACGCTCCTGGACTGCCTGCACATGAGCGTGGTCAAGCCGGCGCAGGGGAGGGGCAGAAGCGTCACCGGCTGGCCGTCTCGCATGCCGACCGCGAGGTATCTCTGGCGGTCAGGTCAGGGGTCCGTCTCCAGGCCTCCGACAACGGCCGCGCCGAGATCGAGTTCGCGGCTCGCGCAGCCGACGGTGTGGCTGCCGGCGCTGGTGTACGACTTCAAGCTGATCACGATGGCCCGGAACCTCCTGCCGCGGGAGTACGAGGAGCAGAGCAACTGAGCAAGCCGATCACGCGCTACTTCCAGATGATGACCGAGATCGTGGAGGACGCGGCCGACGTGCGGATCCTCCGCCGCGCCGGTGTGGTCCGCGGCGGGTCCAGCGGCGGGCAGGAGGTGCACGAGCTGATCGAGAACATCGACGGGCACTCCACGTACCCGTCCGTGTACATGGCCATGGACCGGGAGATCGACAAGGTGAGACAGTACCACAACCAGAGGATGGCAAACTTCTTCGTCAGCAACCGCCCCAGCGTGAGGCCTCATCGGTGGTCGTCACCTCGGTGGCGGCTATCGTCGCCACGAGGAGGAAACGGGGCTGAAGCCAACAGCGAATCGCCACTTTGGCAGCTAAAACGGTGCTGTCACAGATATGTATGTATCTACATGTTCCATCTTTTCAAAGTCGACTGTTGCCATTTTATTTTATTTTTTACGATTTTTCATCCGTTTTTTGTCACGTTTTGAACAAATAAATAAATAACTATATTTCTATCTACTTCTCTACTTTAATCTTATCTATGTATATCTATATCTATTTCTTCTACACCTATATAGCTAATATTAAAGAGGATTTTTTTTGTTCCAAACCGTTTCTTCATCCTACTTTTTTTTACTTTATAAACTGGTCTCGCACTCATCGTATCCAATACGCGACTCAGACTCATAACTCATGCTCATATGGTTTGCAATAACTAGATTCCAAGACATATTGTGTAATGGCAATACAAAGTCTAATTCCTATACGTACATCCCGTTGCAACGCACGAGCACATTTGCTAGTAGAAAAAAAAAGAAACGTCTGTTTAACTCTTCCTACCTACCTTATGCATGGAAGTCATCATGTTCGCTTGTCTTATAAGCTATATTTTTAGCGAAGGAATATTATTTTTCTCTCACAACATATCAGCGAACAATACTTTTCAGCTTGTCTTTTCAGCAATAAATGTGTTTAAATCAAATGTTTTAACTTTAGATCCAGTATAAAATGATTTCGTAGTGTGTTTACTCAGCTTCGTTAGACCTGTTCAAAGTTAGATGAGTTTGAGGACAAAACAAGGTGCTTCTGCTTTTGACTTTTGTACCGTAAATTGACCCATGCTGAAACAAACAAAAGCCTACACGTCTTATAGGACATAAGACTGCCTCCAACAGGATAGCTATTACGCTACGCAAACCAAAAAATGGGTGGTCTACGTTGCCTTAAGCAAAAAACTCAGAGTCCAACAGCGGAGGCAAACGCGAGATCCATTTTGCGTCGGTGGTCTGTCGGAACCCAAAAATGCGTCCCCTCTCTCCGTCTCTCTCCTCAACCGAAATATCTACGCACAACCGTTTCGCGGGCGAGGGAGGGGGAAAGAAGAGGAGAGCGCACCGGGCGAAGCTTCGCCGTCGGCGAGATCTACTGAGCTTGACTTCGCAGGTATGGATCTCTCTCCAACCCCACCCTCCTTCTTCGCCAGTCCCAGCTCTCCTCTCTGCCCATGGATTTGGCCCCGGCTGCTCGCATGCTGCGCCTATGCTCCGACGGATTTGAACTTGGCCACCCGCATGGCCAAAGCCTATTATTGGCCGCATGCTGGACCTAGCTAATGCCTATTCTTAGCCGCATGCTGGATCTAGCTGGCCGCGATGCACGACAAGCACGTCGTGGCCATGGAGTGCCACGCCGGCTCCGCCGCCGCCGCCGGTGGATGCGGCGTCCGGGAGGGAGGAGTGCAAGATTAGTGGCTAATCGTGCTGCTCTGGACTCTAGTTCTTGGATTTGGTATAGCTGTATAGGAAAGCGAAATTCAGAGTTCATGCACGATCAGAACACATGTAGGCCATTCAGAGTTTCCAGAGTTTCTGTATCAGGATAGGGAGTGTACATTTTGAGATCAATTGAGCCAAAATTACCAAAGCTTTTCTCATCAAATCAAATTTATATATGGTTTGATGAGTTGCTTAACTTATATGCTGTAACTGATACTGATTTTTGTACACCTATCAGATGAGGGATATAGAGAGGAATATTTCCTGTTAGCACAATGGTGTTCTTGCAAATTGTGTTGTAGATGACCCAATAATGTTTGTTTCATAACTTTCATTCATAAAGCGGCTATAGAAACAAAATTGTGCTTCTCCTTTCTAACCTCAATCGGAAGGCAGAGGTCTTACAGAAACCAAAACTAAGAAACTGTTTACAGAAACCAAAATTATGATATCTGTAATGCTTTACACAGAGTGAAAGGCCACCACTCAAACTGCTGTTGCCTACAATTTCCCCGGTCGCGCATGCATGTGTGCCTATGTGTTCTATGTGTATGTTGTGACATGTTTAATTGAATCTCTGCTCTACTAGGAGGATGGATAAAATTTTAAGTGGCTCAAGCGGTTGCGCTGGCGAATCTGAAAATATCTTTGGGGCTGGTCAGTGGGCTTTTGGTTACTCTGCCGCTTTGCAATCTTTGGATGATGCTCCAAACCACCAGGTTTATTGCAACCATGCATCTAATGGTTTGTTATATTTACAAAGGAATAGATCAATGATTAACAATTATTTCCATCACTAGTTCAACATGCATGGGCAACCTAGCCATGGGTTCTCCATCGACAACAATCATGCCTCTACGGACCCTCCATCATTGAAATCACAGAAGGCCGCAAAGAAGAAAAACGTGTCCAGGAGAGGAGCTGCATTCACCAAAGAGGAGGACGTGGTGGTGCGCTCGGCATTTCTGAATGTTAGCAAAGATCCTATTACTGGTAATAGCTTGCAACGTCTTTTAAGAAATCATTGACCCTTTGATGTCCAAATAATATGGTGGCATAACATGTAGGTGTGAACCAGATTTCAGGTGGTTATTACAAGAGGATGCATGATTATTTCAATGAGCACAAGCCTGAAGGGTCCAACCGTAGCCAGATTGCTATTCGGCATAGGTGGGCATTGATTCAGAAAGCAATAAACAAGTTCTGTTCACACAAAGCAGCTATCGACAGGTTGAATGAGAGCGGAAAAAATGAGCAGGATCGGGTATACTTTCACTCATGTTGTCCTCCATGTGTCTAATTTCCATCTTTTATTTTATAATCGATTTAATCTATATTCATATCTACAGATAGACGATGCTGTAAAAATGTACGAGAGGACTGAACCTTTTACCACCATGCATTGCTGAAAAAAACTTTGTAATGAGGCCAAATGGAACAATAAGTTTCTTGAGCTAAACAACCCTACATCTCTTGATGGCATGTCATCTCCTCCAACTCAAGGCCACGCAGAATCTGAAAATGAGAATATAGACACATCACGGCCTGAGGATAGGGATAGTGCGAAGAGGCGTAGATCAAAGAGCTTCACAGAGACATCATCATCTAGTACAGATGTTGAAGTCCTCCAGCGGTTGCAGGAGAAATCAGAGTAGACTGAACAAAAGCAAGACCAGCAAATGGCTGAAATCCTTAATAGGAAGGATGAAAAAATTAAAATTTAAAAGGATCTTTTCAACCTTCAGAAGAAGCATATGAAGATGACATTGCAGTAGCAAAAGAAGGAAAATAATATTAGGGAGAAGGAGACAGAGGCTCAACTGATCACAGCTGAGTCTAGTATTATATCAATTGACATTGAGAAGGTGCCCCCTCATCTGAAAAACTATTATGTTGGCATGCAACGGCAAATCATGGTGCGCAGAGGGTTTATCAGCCCCTCGAACAACGAAGACTAAGGAGTGTGTGTGTGTGTTAGATATATGTTCAAAAATGTTCACTTGAGTTGAACTATTGTGTTGTGTGCAATTATTCATATTATCAGTTGTGAACTTTTGTATTATGTGTAACTTTGCCTCGCTTGAGTTGAACTTCATGTAGTGTTGTGAACTGTTGTTATATTCAATCGTGAACTTTTGCGTTATGTGCAACTATTTCTGTTATCTGGCAATGCACTTTGTTCAGCCTTGTGGGAGGTGAGGCTGGTTTTGTAGTCCATCAGATTCACACTCGCCAACAACTGATACTAATCAAACTTGAAGATTTGAGGTTTCCTGAAGCAATACGAAGGCCGATTTGTGGCTTCTCTTTGCAATATGCTTGGTTGTGATTGGATTTGAAATCACTGTTGTAAATAATTAATCTAGCATAAATAGAAGGTGGTGCTGTCGACACAACCATCTCACTCTGTCAAGCTAGGAGGTGGCCAGCTGGTAGGTGGTGCTGAAAAATACAAAATATCATATATTTCTTATCACTAGGCTGAAAAATACAAAATGACATATATTTCTTATCATCAGGCAACAAAATACAAAAGTTCCAGCATCTAGTATAGTTCTAGCATCTAGTATAGTTTCAACAACTACAGACTTAGTTCCTACAACTAGTACAGTTCCTAAAAACTTCATGCCACTATAGTTCACTTGAGCTACCAACAAAATACATCAGGCAACTGAACCTACAACTACAGACTTCAGTTCATGTGATTAGGAGCAAAAGGACCAGAACATTGGCCATATAGCGTCCACAAGTGTTCCATCAGGTCGTTCTGAAGCAATGCTGCCGTCTCTCTGTCCTGAATAATATTTTGTGCATCAATAAGTTTCTCAACTCCCGGGATTTCTCTATCTTGGTTAATAGGTGGGTCAACCACTCCAGGCCATTTTGATGGGTGGACATTCGGCAGCTGAACCCCACGCTCATCTTCAACTACCATGTTGTGAAGTATGACACAAGCATGCATAATGGAATTAAGTACTTTTTGATTCCATAAACGAGCTGACCTATGCAAGATTTTTCACTTAGCATGTAAGACACCAAAAGCTCTCTCCACATCCTTTCTACATGACTCCTGTCGCTCTAAAAAAACCTTTTGCTTGTTGCTAATTGGCATTGGTATGCTTTTCACTAGTGTAGCCCAATCAGGATAGATGCCATCTGCTAGGTAGTATCCAAGGGAATAGATGTTGTCGTTGACATGGAACTCAACAGGGGGTGCCCTCCCATTAGCCAAATCATCAAAAACATTGGATCGATGCAAAACATTAATGTCATCGTGAGACCCTGGTAAACCAAAGTAAGCATGTCAAATCCTAAGATCCTCTGTCGCCACTGCCTCATGTATTAGAGTTGGCTTGCCTTTGTGCCCTCTATACATGCCTTGCCAACCAGTTGGACAGCCAGACCATTCCCAATGCATGCAATCGATGCTGCCTATCATTCCCGGAAAACCTCTGGCCAAATTGATGCTAAGTATGTGCTCTATCTCCTCACTTCTGGGAGGACGGAGAAATTCTTTACCAAACACCTTGATCATGGTCATAACAAATTCCTCTAGGGTCTTCAGGACAGTACTGTAACACCCCGGGTGTTTTAAATACTAAAACTTGCCATGACATCATATGCATTGCAAAGCATCTGGGCATATTGAAAACTTGGATATGCATTTACTAAAACAAGTTTACTTTATGTTGTATGAGTAAATTGTATTGGTTGAATCAAGTTTGAAATACTTGTATTGGTTTGAAATTCCGAAAACCCCGCTTTTCAGCATTTAAATCCTACCCTGAAAAATCCATTTCAAAATCTAGATAGAATTAGGAGATGGTTATAGAAGCAATGTTGTAGAACTTTCAATTTTGAACAACTTTTGTTTTTGGAGATTTTTGAGTTGTTATGAAAATTTGAGAGTAATTTGTGAATTTTGGCGTATGGCAAACTTGTAATTCGATGAGCAGTGTTCACCGCTTATGCGCTTACACCGTGCCATGAGCTTCGGCTTGCTTCGGTCTGCAGCGTGGTCGTCTCAAGGCGTATTTGGCGAGGGAAATGGTTTCGCCGTGGCTTCCTTGAGTTTCTGGCCATCCTTTTTCAGAATGATCATGCCGCCTAGATTCCGTCGTGGCTTCTTGAGCTTTTGCGCCGCGCGCTATAAGTACCAAGACGTCGTCATCGTCGTTTTTCTTCCTTTGTTTTCACCATCATTGTTGCCATCTCGGTAAAGGCCGTCCTAGTTCCATATTTTTTCTTGCGAATCCAAATGACTAGCCTTGGTCTTTGAAATTGCCGAGAACTCATTGCTCACGTTTTTCTTCCTCGGAGCAATTTCACCGCTGCTGGGCGTGTCATCGTGGCGAGCTTTTCGGTGAGCCGTTATGCATAATCGAGTGTACTTACGGTTTCGTTTTCGGCGTTGTAGTCTTTAGTCGATTGTTGTTTACTCATTTTGATCATCTGCGTTCGCGGTTCTCCTCACCGATGATCTTTGCTCGCATGAGTTACCGTAGTGGTCGGATAGCTCACCATAGTGGTCGGAGAGTTCACCAAAGTGATCGGTGCTAAGCGTGGTCACATCGATTTCGGATATGGTTTGGTTAGTTTGGTTTTATGGCTTTGTCATTGCGAAGAAAAATTGTATCCAATTTATTAATTTTTTTGCATCCATCATCGAGCATCATGTTGAACATGGCATTGTTGCTACGTGTAGTAAACGAAGGTGAACACGTGGTAGTTAATCAAGTTTGCGGAGGAGGTTGATCTGTCTGTTGAGGTCGGATCAAAGACTTGAAAAGAGCGACTTTTTCCGTCAACGAAGGCAAGCCCGGATGCATATAACCCTACCTTGTATTTTACAAATTGATTTCGCTTTTGCTTTTCAATCTTGCATTAAGTGATTAGAAGTCAAGTGGAAACCTAATTGTTGCATTATCAACCTTGTTGTTCCATATCTACCTTGTTACCCGTTTAAAATCGTATATGCCTAGTTATGCTTAGCTCGCTTAGACCGATCAAAGTTAGGTGATTACTGTCACCTGCGAGTTTTAAATGGAACTTTGGTTACTTATGTTATCATGTGATATGGTAATGTGGAGTAATAAATCTAGACCAGGGCGGACTCGGTGTGTGTGAGCCACAAGACTGGTAATGTCTTGTGAGCGGGTTCTTTCGCTTTGTGTCGATTAAGGTCCGTACCACAGTGAAGCTGCGTGCGGTGAGACTTTGTAGTACTAACCACATACTCCGTAAGCCTTAACTTGGCTATTCTATTACGAGAATGGCTACTCGCAAGATTGGGAGTGGAGAGATGGCGGGAATAGCGTGTACCCACGTGGCAATGAAATTTGGAGTGTGGAGTCTGATTCTCGGGTGGCGCGGACCTGTTCTTGTATAGAGGATCCGAGGGTAGGTTGGTATATGTAGGTCGGGGACCTACATATGTCGTGTGGTCTGGAATTCCCATTTGGGTTTATAATCGGTTCAATCGTCGTTGCTCCTCGGTTATGGAGACTCACTTCTCTGTTCATCATCGTAGTATTAATAACCTGGAACTCGAGAATGGTTCGAGAAAGTGTTGGATATGAAGTTTCATGATCTGTTTTGGATCGTGTCACTTTGTATATGATCTTATGAGATTTTAAATATTGATACAAAGAATTTTGTTAAAGTGCTTTTACATAAAAGAACTTTGATTATTGCTAAAGCCATACCTTGAATCTCAGAGCACTGCATTCCCGAGTTTTATCGGTTTTATTTCGGTTAAGTCTTGTTGAGTACTTTCGTTACTCGTGGTTTGATTGACCCTTGTTGAGAGAGAGGCTCATGAGCGATCTGTTTTGGATCGTCTTTGCATGACTGTTGTTGATGTTCATGATGATGATAAGTAATGTGTGGCCCTTGGGCAGGGCAGCGATATTTGTGTGTTTTGTATTATATTATAATGCCACTCCCCTACTTTGGTTTGTATTTATAATCGAACTTAGTTTGTAAGGTTTGAAATAAATGTTTTGTAAACTAAGTTATCGTAAGACTTCCGCTGTTTTACTCTGGTGTAGATATTTGAATAAACGTTGTAATACTGCAATGACTCTGTAATGTGATCCTGCTCGGAAATCGTGGATGATTCGGGGTTCCCCGCGGACACCCGACAGTCTTCTTAAGTTATCGGTAACATATGCATAAATGTCAAAGGTCGTTGGACAGTGACAGGTGCATGTGGGCCCTATAATTTAGGAGGTTCTGCCACAAGTACTCTCTCCCATTTTCAAATGATCATCCAACTCATTAGCCGGGCCTCCGTATGCTAGCATCTTTAGAGCCACCGTGCACTTGTGAAGAGGAGAGAATCCTAACTATCCCACAGCATTTCTCCTCTGTTGGAAGAACCTATTTTTGGTTGTGACCTCATCCACTATTCGAAGAAACAATTCTCGTCTCATGCGAAACCTACAGCAAAAAATTACAGCTTTTTTATCAAATTAATTCACTATATCATGGAAATGGAAACTTGGCCAATGATTGTACCTCCTTCTGAAATGCTCCTCATTGTAAAGTGGGCATTCAACGAAGTAGTCCTGATTCAGCTGCCGGTCTGCTGCAAGTCGATCACGCTTGTAAGTCTTGTGGCCTAGGACCGAACCTCCCCAAGGGCGTTTTTGTGGCATCTGGGTGAGGACGGCCACCGCGGCTATGATCTCCTCGTCATTGGAGTATACTGCGGCTGTCCCGAACATCAACATTTTCACGTAACTCCAAGCATGGCCAAAACAACCGCAGTTGATGTCTGAAGCCAAGCAGATTTTAGGACAAATTAGCCACAAATCATGGGCTTGAGAGGGATTGGAAGGGATTCAGAGGGATTTGATCCCCTGTAAGTCAAAATCGCCCTCAATCCCCTTTCATCCTCTCCAATCCACTTGGATTTGGGCTGAAACGCACAAGTCCTAAAAGGATCGAACAAGCAGATTGCTACAAAATCGGGTTACCTATGCTCCGATTGACTCTTTTGCGCTAGTGCCGGCCTTGTCCGGATGGTTGATCGAGCGAGCCGACGCCAACGCCGGCTACCTCGCTGTCAGCTCGAGTTCCTTCAGGTAGCTGGGGCGGCAAAATAATCCCGCCATCGAGGAACCCGCAGTACCGCACCCACTCGCACGGTCTGTTTCCCGCGGAAGATTTCACAGTGTGCCCGCCAAAACAACTGTCCGTGCATGGGGTTTTGCTTTTGGGTCCGCTGTTGGAGCTGGCAAAGTTTGGGTACGTGACCTTTGTTTCCTCTGTGACCCAAATCTCTGAATGCATATCGTGTTTGCCTCAGGGCTGTTGGAGATAGTCTAAGAACCTTGTCAGCACCTCCCTTCTTTTGAGAGACGGTTTATGGTAATGTTAGAGTCCAATAAAGTAGTACTCCCTCTGTCTCATAATATTGGATGTTTTAAAGGTCAAAATTTGTCTCATAAAGCATGACGTTAGACTGTCTTCAACAACCGTGACCTAAAATACAAGACCCATTCGTCCTTTGGGTAGCGCTACATGCAAAGAGTTTAATACATATTTTTGGTCTTCTCCAACAACAAGACCCAAAAGACAACCATTTTTGTAAATGGGTCTTCAGGAGAGTGGATACTCAGATTTGGGTTATGCCTCTCCTGGCACCCAAAATGGGTCTTTCATGTAGGTACTCTGTTGGAGGCTATAGGTACTGTATTAGAGACTCATTTTAGGTTTAGGTTCCGTAATAGGTCTCCTATTGGAGACAGCCTTATAGCCAATCATATAGGTTCCATCCTAAGCCAACCATCCCATCAGTCCATCCATCTCCTGCTTAGCACTCCTTTTCGTCACGAGGAGATGAATATAGGGCTTGTTTAGTTTCTCCTCAAATTTTTACACCCTATCACATCAAATGTTTAGACACATGCATGGAGTATTAAATATAGATAAAAAATAACTAATTGCACACATTACGACTACTTTGCGAGACGAATCTTTTAAGCCTAATTAATCCATGATTTGACAATAAAGTGCTACAGTAACACATATGCTAATGGCGGATTAACTATGCTTAATAATTTCGTCTCACGCGGTTTACTGACGGATTTTGTAATTTGTTTTTTTATTAGTATCCGAACACCCTATACGACACCCCATGTAACATTTGATGTGACACCTCAAAACTTTACACCGGATCTAAACACCACCATAAAAGGGGGAAAATCAGAGGTGGGGGTGCTGTGGTGGTGCTCAGCACTGCCCCTGTGACCCGGCTTGTTGTCAATCAATGAGAAGCGTAGCAGCTCATAGGGGCATGCAGGTCTTTCATCCTCAACATTGATCTAGGTGATGAATTCTAAAAAGTCTAGCTTCCTAAGACAGAGGGAGTAGTGTTGAAGCATGGACAATTTATTGGTAAATGCTTTGACCTATGAAGGTGGAGGCTTGTTCCGCTTTTCTTTAATATTTTTTTTGTAATAAGTGAGTGAATCATATTTATAGCACGGTTAACGATAATGCAAATGTTTGGCACTCTTGCATGTCGTGTTAACTTTGGTTTGATGTCATGAACTCATGATTGTCCAGCATGAGTTTAATCCATATTCACTATTGCCACAGGTCCTTGGTTTCATAGTCGTGTGCAACCAAAGCAACCTCGAAAGCCTCGCAAGGCAGCGGAGGAGAGAAACTTGACACCTCTAGAACTCGTACATTCTAATCTATGCGAGATGAATGGTGTGTTGACAAAAAGTGGAAGAGATATTTCATGACTTTAATTGATGATGCGACTAGATTTTTGCTATGTTTACTTGCTTAAATCTAAGGATGAAACGCTAGACTACTTTAAAATCTATAAGGCTGAAGTTGAGAACCAACTAGAGAGAAAGATTAAGAGTTTAAGGTCGGATCGTGATGGTGACTATTTTCTCATATTGTTTGATGAATTATGTGAGGAACACGGTATTATTCATGAGAGTACGCCTCCTTATTCGTCCGAATCAATTGGGATTGCTATCAGAAAAAGCGCATGCTGACTGACTTGGTGAGCACCATGTTAGACACTGCTGGTTTATCTAAGGCATGCTGGAGCAACAAAATAACTCCATCTCTCTCAATTGACAGTTTTATGAAGACGAGGGATGAGATTAGACTGGAGATGCTCTAAGGATCCAAACACCCCCTTAGCCCTACCGCTTGTGTGTACATAGCAAGAGACGAGAGAGACATAATACACCGTCCATCCTTCGGCACTGATTTAAGACAGGTTTCATACTTGTATATGCAAAGTAAAAAACTCCATTGCTTTGTCGATTCATCAGACCTGAATAAAAGTACACAGACCGATCCATCTACCCAAAAGTACACGGGTACAAGTACAACCATATGACGCCAGGTACCCACAAACCTAACAGTTTAACGAAGAGGGGGGAACGAAGAAAACGATATGACTTTGGCAAGCAGAGAGGCACATAGTTTGAAATGGCGGCGTGGCGAGACGGCGTGGAGCGGGACAAGGAGACGACAGCGGCACGACTCGGTGGTGCGACGCTAGTCTAGAGACGGTGGCGTGGCTCAGCACGGCCCCGGAGGAAAGGGCTGCGACGGCAATGGAGGTGTCAGAAGAGGAAAGAAGAAAGAGATGAGGTGTGTTGCGGTTTCAGCATAGGAAAAGATAAGGAGAGTGAAGAAGAAAAGAAAAAATAAAGATATTATGGGCATTTCACCCTTTTCACTAATCCGGAGAAACTGTTTTGCCAAACATTTTTTTTTACCAAGCGAAGCTGGAGCTAAAAAACTATTTTATCAGAGAAGTTGTTTTGCCTCAAACAAAAGTTTTACCAAACACGTCCTTAGAGTGACACATCTGTTGTACAGAATATGCCTGGGCGCATTTTAGCCTACCGCTTGTGTGTACACAGCCAGAGATGAGAGAGACATACACCCTCCATCCTCCGCCACTGATTTAGAACAGGTTTGATACTTGTAAGTGCAAAGTAAAAGAGCTCCATTGCTCTGTCGATCCATTGACCTGAACAAAAGTACACAAACCGATCCAACCACACAAAAGCACACAAGTACAACCATATGACGCCAGGTACCCACAAATCTAGCAGTCTAATGGCAGAGGCGCATAGAAGAACTTCAGCACGAAGAAGCCAACGCCAATGTGAGCGGGCACATGCAAGGCTTATGCAGCTGCTGCAGTTGTGGTCGGGATCACAAAGGCTCCCTGCTGCGGTGCTTCCTCCAGTGCCGCGACGTAGGCGGCGAGGTCCCGCGGCTTGACGTGCACGCGGAGGCCGTTCTTCATGAACAGAGTGAGCGACATCTTCTGCTCCACCTTGTGCCCAGGGATGAGCTCCACCGAGTGGCGCAGCAGCACAGCGGACGCGATAGACTTCATCTGCAGGTACGCCAGGTCCTTGCCCAGGCACGTCCGCGGCCCGCCGTTGAACGCCACGAAGCGGTACGCGTCCTTGGCCGGCTCGAACCGGGTCCCGTCAGCCGAGAGCCACCGCTCAGGCCGGAACTCAGCGCAGTCCTTCCCCCAGATGCTCTCCATTCGTCCAACCGAGTAGATGGAGTAGGTGATCGCTGAGCCGGCCGGCACCACGGTGCCATCGGGCAGCACGTCGTCCTCCACCACGTACTTGGAGTCCTGCGGCACCGACGGATACAGCCGCAGCGTCTCCGCCAGTGCCGCCTTCAGGTACACGAGGCGATCCAGCTCGTCGAAGTCCAGCGGCTCCTCAGTCCACCTCCCGGTGTCGTCGCCCCGCGTCTCCCTGAGCACGGAGGCGATCTCCAGTACCACCTTGCGCTCGACGTCGCGCCGCAGCATGAGCATCCAGAAGAACCAGCTGAGCGCGACGGACGACGTGTCGCGCCCGGCGAGCACGAAGTTGAGCGCGATCCACTGGAGCACGTCCTCTGGGAAGGCCCTGCCGTTGCCGTCTCGCTTCTTCATGAACCTGGAGAGCAGGTCGTCCGACGGCGTCGCCTTGCGCGCCGCGATGGCCTCTGTCATGTAATGGTCCACGATGGCGAGGCTCTCGCGGAGGTTCCGCTCGCTGCCGACGCCGAGCGCCTTCTTGATGCGCCACAAGAAGCTGGGGAACAGGAACCTCTGCAGCGTCGCCTCGGTTGCGGAGTCGAAAGCATTGGCGAAGGGGTTGTCCTGCAACCCCGGCGACAATGTCTCGGGGTCCTTGCCGAAAGTGAGGCCGCAAATGTTGTCGAAGGTGAGGCGCAAGAGCAGGTCCTGGAGGTCGACGCTCGCTGCAGCTTCGCAGTGGTCTGCGAGGATACTCCACAGGCGGTACTTGATAATGCGGTTGGCCCAGCGTGCCATCGCCTGGCGCAAGGTCCGCGTGGTGAACTCGAGCGCCGCCGTCTTGCGCTGGAGCAGCCACGTCTCGCCGTCGGAGTTGAAGATGCCCTGGCCTAGGAGGTCGTGGAACGCCGCCTGCCACATGGGGCCCTTGGGGTAGTTGTCGAAACGCGAGCGCAGGATGTGCTCCAGGTTCCGCGGGTTGCACGTGACGGTCACCAGCCCCTGGCGCTGCGCGAGGAACGGCAGCGGCAGGATGCACGTCTGGTACGTGGTCGCTTCCCCCGTGGAGCGCAGGTTGTCGACGATCCAGTCGTGAACCCGCGCCCGGTTCAGGACGACGCTGGGCAGGCTGCCGACGAGGGGCCACATCCGTGGCCCGGACAGCCGCCGCGTCAGCGCCCAGAACCACACCATGTACGCCGAGACCAATGCCGCTGCCGCCGCGGCGACAACATAGGGGTGCGAGTGCAGGACACCGGCATCCAGTACAGTGGCCATGCCGGTGCGTTTTAAGCTTGGAATCGCACCTGGTTGTAACAGCACTGTGGCAATATAATTAGGAGGGCTGGGTTTAGGCGCTGCGATTAAGAAATGGCGCTGTTCTTGGTGAGTTGGGAAATGTGTTTGGCGCCCTCGTGTATATATATGTCCTCTGCACACGAGCCGTGTGGAGAGGCTTTCCTCTGCGCCCATGTCTCGCAAGATTTTGAATTCATCAAGGACAAATAAAATGCGTTGCTCTTGTCCATACTTCTTGCCTTCTTGCCCATCCTGCCTAACAAGAATAGGCAATGTTCCTCACTTCAGTGAACGTGCTGGTAGTGACTAATCTAACTGGGTTGGTGCCATTTGTTTCAAAAGTGTAACAGAAAGCAAGGAGCGCTGTAGGTATTGGGCAGTGGTTTCTGCTATAGAAAATTCAGTGCGTGTGCGTTTCCTTCAAGAACTCTCGCTTTCTTTCTTGTTAGTGCGAACTACCGAGCAGGTTGCCCATACTTTAGCAAATCTATTTCGTCAAATATTTCACCTCTCACGTACTAGAACCATGCATTGCTCTAACATCGACCTGGTAGCAATAGTTGGTGAGAAATCTGTTGCCTATTACTTCCCATCCAACATATCGAACAAGAAAGACAAGGCTAAAATTAAATACACAGAAAGCCAAAAACGTGAAAGTTGATTCACATTACATTCTTTCCAAGCCCAGTTTATTTAAATGGTTTGACTGATATAACAGCCTCTACATCGTGAGATCATTTTTGCTCTATGGACGCAAATCTGATCCCACACTCAAAGAGCTAGAACGCTCGGATCATATGGAGATCACCTCGCGATGAACCCTAGCGAACCTGGCCTAGCCGACTTCAGAAATTGGCCTAACTGTTTTTACTAGAGAATTAAATCACGAAAGCCTAGAAAACGCATCCTGATAAAGCGCCCACTGGGAAGGTGCACATAGGGTTGTCCTAGGATCTCGGCAGGTCATTTAGAACACCAACAAACACTATTGAGGAGCTTGCAGAATAACAATTGGGGATGGAAACGCTAGGGTTTGGAAAAGACAAAATAGTATATCATCGACTGAATATCCTCATTCGGTCATTGGCCCCTCATATTTATTTGGTGGGATGGACTTATCGCATCTAAAGATTGTTTACAACTCAAACTCAACATGGATCTCCACTCGGATATGTAAAATTTAAACTGACCTAGTTGACTTGGCAACCCAGCCTAGCCAGTTTGTAAAACATGGCCTAGTTGGCCTGACAACCCTACCTAGCCGGTTTTGCCAACAAAGCCGCAACGGGCCAATTTTGACCGTCAATAGGCTCATGCTTACTACAATAGATGCATTTGTAGTAAAGTGTAAACTCATCAAGATATGTTAGACATATTTGCATAGGTTTATGGATGCTAGGGAACAATATAGAAGAAGAACGATCAAAATCCGAGTTAAAACAAAGAAGATACGATGAAGATTCCTTGCTAGACCATACATCTGAGCACTTGATCGAGACCAATGTCGAGGCCCATGGATGATGCACATTGAAAACAAAGATCACCATATCATTCACCAAATGAAAAGATAGAGGTACAGTGGAACATCCGGCGAGGCGACGATCACCAGATATGTGTGCAGTAAGATGGAATGACCCACCGAACAATACAGAGGAGTGATGGACCTAGTGCTAGATCATCAAGCGATTTGGGACCTAGTGTTAGTGGCTCAGAGAAACAACAGTCAACAACAATACGTCACCCCACCAGATGATCCAGTGATGCGTTTTATGGCCACCAGATCACCAAGTGATGCCTGCAAATTATGCATATTGTGCTGAATGGCTAGGACTTACTTAGGGGCTATAAATATGCCATTGGCTGGTTGTTTTGAGTAGGTTGGAAACCAAAGAAGCTAGAGGGTATTGATACACTTGAAGATACACTCCAATCGCATATGAGTTTTATGATCATATCTAAGGCTAGAATTGTGCTTAGTGTCATCTTTAGCAAGTCATTAGGTTTTAGCTTGAGAGCTAGAGTGAGCTGGGCTTTGTGCTCTTGTAATCTTGGTAGGCTGAGACACTTGGAGTCTCAGTGAATCTCCGGCGACATCTACCCTCCAAGCTTGGTATGGATCAATGTGACTTGGGGTATGGGCAATAAAGATATCGCTTTCTTGGTTGAGAAACTCCTTAGTGGGAGAGTCTAGTGGCGGTGGTGAGCCTAAGTGGGTTACGGCATTTGCCTTGGTTGATAGGAACCTATATGGTGAGCCCAACACCGTGACCGACAAGTCGATGAACCGTAGAGTGTACCTCAGCGGAACTTGAACATGGACTATGGGTTGTATTTTGGTAACTGATACCATGAGATACATCACCTCATTTCATGACTTTGCACCTCCTAACATGAATTCTTTATTTAATGCACTTACATTTTCGCAATTGATTCATGTGACTTTACTTTTTCTACATTAGCTTAGTCTGGTTAATAGGATCGGCTCTATGTTACATTTTTTTGTGGGTTTTGGTAAATAGAGAACATTAGATAAACTTAAGTTCACATGATCCTAGTTATTAGTTGTTTTGGGTTTATCTAGTGTGAATAGAAGTAAAGTCCTAGGACAAGCCGCTTCGGTCAGCCATTAACATTCCCTTCACTGGTAAACCTTTATTCATACTTTGCAGAGATCTCCACTCAGATAACCTACAAAGATTGGCACGCGCAAGCTCGCAATCGTCCTTTTTCGAGATTTACATAGTTTTCAGGGTGTGTTCTTGGTTTTTTCACTATTAGACTGAATTTATACATATCAGATATTTATTTATCTTATGTGTTTTGGAACACTTCATATTTCTCAATTCCTTTCTTTTTTGCCTTGGTAGTTTCAAGTGCTAAAATTTCAACTCAACTTTTTCGTACCTGATTGGATTATGTTTTTTTTTTGCTCTAGTGCCAAAAATTAAAATAGGAGCCCCTGTTTAGGGTCCCTGTTCTAGATGCTCTAGTTGAACATAGCTTTAGCACTAGAATCTACAGAGTGTGTGTTTGCTTACAGAGCAAAACGAGATGGAATCAGTCATCCCCAGATGACTGTTTAGAGCATGTGTAGAATACAAATAATGGTCTAACTATATGCATTTAACTCAAAATAATAACTAAATTGCTGTATTGAGGGGCTGTTTGGTCTGCAACCAACACCATCCACACGTGTTGAGGCGTCGCCGAATATTAGGTGGAGGAAACGGCCGCCACAGGTGTGGCAAAGATTAACAAAGGAATGAGCCAAAGGATCTTGTGGCCACCACAACGGATTCACGAACTAAACACTGGTCAAGTTCCTGTGGCAGCCATATGTGTAGCGTGGTGAACGAGGGCCAGCAACCAAACAGCTCCTGAATGGCTCATTGTGTCACACCTCTACTTTAATGATTTCTGGAGCTAGTGACAACCAACTTAAAAAATTCTAGACCTGATCGAGTTGTGCAAAAAGGCCTACACGAGACCTAGTTTTTTTAAAAAAAAAAAAGTTCCAAGAGGAGCATCTCAGCTAAATCCTAGAGCAACTCTACCAAACAATATATAGAGGACTGATTCTATACTGATTTCTACGAAGTGATTCTCTCAAATAAGAGGGTGTTTGATTTCTCCTCCTAAATTTTAGTCGTTGTCCCATTGGATGTTTGGACACATACATGAAGTATTAAATATATACTAATTACGAAACTAATTGCACAGCTTACGATTAATTTGCGAGACGAATCTTTTAAGCCTAATTAGGCCATGATTTGACAATTTAGTGCTACAGTAAACATATGCTAATGACGGATTAATTAGGCTTAATAAATTCGTCTCGTGGAGTACTGACGGATTCTGTAATTTATTTTTTTATTAATATCCAAACACCCCATGCGACACATTCATATGACACCTCTTAAATTTTAGTCACCGGATCACCCCTAAAAATAAAAGGTTAGCGGTTGGAAGCTACAAAAACTAGCTTCTCACTATTCAATTTTCGCACATAACTACTTCGTACGTACATATAGTTTATTGTATAAAATTATTTTTAGTCGTAGAATCACTTCTCTCAATTAATTATTTTCCACGCACAGTTAGGCTCGCTCGGCTGTTCACTTGCATAGTGGATTTTGGATTATTTTGAATGATTCAATAGTATTATATGAGAGATAAGAATATGCTGAAACAAGCTAAAACAAGCGGAGAAGTGAACAGCCGAACACGAGCTCTAACGGACGCATCCTAGCTCTGTTTGACATCCAAGTGGGTCTTAGAAGCGCTTGCTTATTTCCAGCTTTCAGGTGAAGCTTTTTATTGGAAGCATATATATATTATTTATGATGGTCAAAAATCGCAATAGAGTTGGTGAGTATCCACTAACAAATTTTCATTATTAGCCGCCGCGCAAGAGAACACAAGAACAACAAGCAGATCTTACCCGGATTTCATGACCATATGTTACGACACCATCCAATTTAGATGCATATAGCCAGGGGCGGACCCAGGGGCCGACGACCCTGGGCACCTGCTCGGGCTCTCCGTGGTGACGACTTGACACAGTGAAAGGCAACAATGCCAATGCAGCACTGCATGTCGGCAGTCCTGGTTACTGCCTCGTCTCCAGAAAATCAGTCACTTATGTCTCACGGAGCAATAGACAAGTACTCAACTACCGGCTACCATGTAGTAATTCATAATTGACTTTCCATTTTCACTCAACAGTCAAATTACCACTCATCCACGGTCTCAAAACTTAAGGCTTAAAAATATAGCTGACGCATGGTGTATATTGAACTTTTGGCGGCAATTTGTTAATGTACAGTTAATTTTTATTGTCATATTATTTAGACAATTGGTTTACATCTCCTTTTCCTTACTGGTTGGTGGTCCAGCTGGCTCCGGCTCTGCCTCTCTTTTTTGTACACTGTAGCAAGTAGTCGTTTTTTATCTTTCTTCTAAAAATGAACATGAGTCAA